CCCATATTTGTTTGGAGGTCTCCTTCTCGAGTATAGTCTCCAAGATAGATCGATCAAGTGCCTGAAAAAGGTAGTTTTTCACCTTCAAGTCCTTCAGCTTCAGTTCAGCAACCCTCTTTTGTTGTTGTTCAGTCAACACAACTCCCTCTACTGGGGCGTCAATTCCTGATTCCACAAGATTCCAGTACTCCTTTGACTTGAGAAAATTTTCCATCAACATGCTCCAATGGTCGTAGTGACCATCAAAACGTGGAATCGCTGGTTGAACAAAACTCTCAGTAGCTTTGTCAGTTGCCATTGTTTCTTGCTGCTGCAAGACATAATTTTTCACCTTTTTCAAGTTTGTTCAGGCCCAGAAGGGACTCTGATACCAGATGTTGAGAAACTGAAATTAACTTAAACGATTCTTTGAGCAAACGTATTTCACAGCATAAAGATACTGCAGTTTTCCTCTCTTATATATATCTGAAAAACAAAGCTTATAAAATAACAATCCCATAATAACCACTAACACACAACATGTGCAAATTTTGTGGAGTTCAACTACCTTAAGCAACGGAAGCAAATCTGAACGTGGTGAACAAACTAAACCACAACTTCTACATTCTAGGACTCTAGCTTGACTTGGTCTCTACATGGCCATGTCAGCATTATTTAATTGAAAAACTAATTAAACTGAACTAAATAACTTTTAACACCATGAGTGTAGTGTATGTAACCGTATCAGGATCAATATCTCTCTTAATCATCATTTCAACCACGCCTTCTGCTTCCACGACCATCCCTTCCTTACAAAGTGTGTCTACCAAGACGTTGAACGTGAACACATTTGGAAATATATTTTTACTCACCATTTCATTCAACAACCTTGCAGCTTCTTTCCACTCGCCTAATTTGCAAACTCCATTCATCAAAGAGTTATAGGTAATGACATCTAGGGCAATACCCTTGCTCATCATTTCTGAGAAGAGGTTCAATGCATCATCAACTATTGTATCCTTACAAAGACTGTCGATGATTGTGTTATAGACAACAAGGCCAGGCTTGCAAGCTCCTTCCTCCATCTTCCTAAGCAACTGAATAACGGCACTATTGTTACCTTTCATGCAAAAGCCCTTTACTAGTGTGCCATAAGTAACCACATTAGGTTGACAATTACCTCCCTCATCATCTTGTGGAGAAGGGTTGCCGCCTCCGCCACTCTATTCTCAAGAAGAAAGCCGTTGATTAGAGTGTTGAAGGTAAAGACATCTGGTTCAAGACCAAGTTTGAAGAAATTTCCCAATACAGATAAACTAAACCCCATTTGGTTTAGATGACAATAACAATTAATGAGAATGTTTAGAGTATAAACATCAGGTGCAATTCCCAACACGTCCATTTGGTTAAACAAGGAGATGGCGGCCGAATAATGTTTCAATTTCGCAACTTGACCCAATATTTGAGTTAAACGAACAACTGAAGGCGAAGGACGCATTTGGAGCATTCTATCAAACACATTGAAAGCATCCTCAACAGTTGTGATTTTGGGTGAGTTTCTCACTGGCTGCTCTAGTTTGGTTCTTGTAGATTTGATTGGTTTATGAGGTTGAGAGTGAAGGAAAGCAAAGTAATCATTGGCGAAAACAACAAGAGTGGAGTTAGAGTGAAGACAAGGCATACCTCTCCATCTCCTGCTGCTGCAATAAGAAGAAGAAGAAGCAGCTATATTCCGCATTTTCATCTTCAGCATTTCAATAACAAACACGCTTTTTGAGTTTTCTACTTGTTGGAGGTCCTCTTCTGCTTATTAGAGTACATTAGGAAATAAATGAAGAAAAAAAAAACGCAAAAGTCAAATGTGTTCGGATGTCAGGATCCAATCACTACTACAAAAAACACTTTGCGCGATGAAATAAGTTTGTTGCGCTTCGTCGCGCAAAACTTGCGCGATGAAATTTTGGTCGCATATGATCTGTAACGCAAATCTCGTGAAAATAGGCTTTGAGCGACGAAACCTAATCATCGTTGTGCATAGCTATTTTGTGCGACGAACCTTAACGTCGCGCAAATCTACCTTGCCCGACGAATACTAATGTCGCGCAAATGTTTGTGCAACAAAATATTTTTTGTGTTTTAAAATCTTTTAATTAAAATAAACTAATTTAATAGTTTGCGCAACGAAATATTTTGTCGTGCAAGGTTTTTGACTTTTTGTTTTATTATTTCTCTTATATTAATTTTTTCAAATTTTTACCTTTTAAATTTAATTTGATTGTATATTTTTTTTAGTTACTTTAATTTAAATTGACATATTCAAAATAAAATTACATATGAAAAATAGTGATCAAATTATCCAATAAATATATATAATATTCAAAATGTACACATAAATTAACAAAGTACAATAATAAAATCCTAATACAAGCCTATTGTGGTGGTAGTGGCGGATGATATGTTTCGATAGCATCCTAATCCTCAACTTTAGCCGTCAAAGTCCCGACGATTCCTTACAAAAAAAAAAAAATGGAAAAAAAAAAAAAAAAAAAAAAGACAAAAAATTGGCATAATCTCCCCTAAAATTGTTATACCACAAATCCAACCCAAACTCCAATCCTCACCCTATACTCAACCCCAAACCCCACACAAACTCAAAACTAACTCCAAAAACACATATTAATGAAAAAAAATTTAAAATTAGGAGAGAATATACCTTTTGACAAACCCCACACAAACTCAAAACTAACTCCAAAAACACATATTAATGAAAAAAATTTAAAATTTGGTGAGAATATACCTTTTGGCAAGATTGAGAGTGAGTGAGAATGAGAGGGCAAGAGAGAGGAGAGGTAAGAGTAGAGAAAAACATTGAGAAAATGGTGGAGGAGTTATTTTGGTTTTAAAAACCGTATCACTTTGCGCGACGAAATATTGGTGGCGCAAAGTCTTCAAAAAAAAATTATTAAAAAAAAAAAAAAAAGCGTCCCATTTTTGGTGCTCACCCAAATTTGTAGAGTTTTGTGCAACAAGTTGTTAGTCGCTCAAAATTTTGGCGGCCAAAAAATTTCCGCATCCTTTTTTAGGTACTTGCCCAAATTTTTGGTTTCTTTACGACATAAATTGATAGAATAGGGACACATTGGACCTACATTTATGTACCATTTGGGTTTCTCCTTCTCTTTTGACACTCCACATTGCTATCCAAATTCCAAAAGGGTGGCCTTTCAGCCAATTGTTACGACCATTATACCTAATTACATTATTTAATCAACTTTCCTGCTGCCTGCAAAATTGAGTTCATTAATTCAACTTCTGTCCGAAATGAAAGCAATATGATATCAGTCACATATGAGTTAATGTGAAGAGATAATGTGGTCCTCCTACTACTTGGACTCAATGTAATCAAATTTAATAATGAGTTGAATGGACAGCAGCTCCAGCTAGATATAGCAACAAACAAGGCTTCTTCCCCCTCCTCCTCAAAGTGATGTATTTGGTTCTATCATTACAAACAATGGGTTTTTGCCACGTGTTGGGCTACTGTGCACGCCTGTAGCTATACAGGTTTATAATTAGGAATTTAGGATCGATTTTTTAAGATGCTGGCTTGACATCACTAACTTTAAGGGGTGTGACATTTCGATCTCAAGTTGTGTTTAAAACTCGAATTATCACAATCTCAGATGAACGATTCAAAATTTTATAGGACAACGATGGGAAAAATTACAAAAGTTAAAGAAACAAATGTAAAGAAAATCCAGCCACAACACAACTGAATATTTAAATCGTAAAACATAACGTAACAGAGAGAAAACTAAACAATCATTGGAAAAACAAAAATCACAAACACAGTTGAAAATGTTATTTTGGAAAACAAGATATGGGATCAGATGAGTGAATGAGGACGAGCTTACAACTCCAGTCTCAGTGTCAGTGTTAGTGGTGTCTATCCCCCTCACTTCCCCCTCATTATTGAATTGCCAGGATGCATATCATTGCAATATATAGATTTATAGTGAAACAACTCACCTGGACCTGGGAAATGATAGTTTTTGTAGGAGAGACGTTAGAGAAAAAGTAATGTGCAAGAACGAAAATTCTACAAGATAATGCTGTGCATAACAATAACAACATCCTTAACCAAAAATACTGTCTCAAAGTAACCCTCAGTCATCCAACAAAGTCTTGTAACCAAAACGAAAATATTTCCAGTACATAAACAATAGCAACAGCATTTAGATTTATCACCCATCAAACGAGCGGACCCAGAAATTTTTGAGCGGAGGTGCAATATTGACTAAGTATGAAAATGGTTTTTCGGAATAATCATTTTCTCAAGATAATTTTTGGCGGCTTTTATTCCTTATACATCAAATAAGAAAA